ACCCCCTTTTAAATTCGAATTTAGTTATCAGACGAGGCGGAACGGGACAAATCCCATAAATTAAAGTCTTCCGCTCGTCCAGTTTATTTCCACTTTCTCCCCGCAACTCCCCATGTGATAACGTCCTTTGTGTGCTACTTGGGATCTAAGTCCCACCACTCTGCCACACTTTTTAGCCCTTATCATTACAACGTACCTCCACATCCTTGTTGCTACTGGTCAGTGCCTCCTGCAGGGCTTTGATTAAGGCTTCCTTCTCCTTCACAGTCAGGAGGAAGGTTTGGTCACGCTGATGCCAGGATTCTTGGGTGGAGGCACAGAGGGATTCCAGCCGCTGGATCTCCTGATCCTTCTGGTGCAGAACCTCACGCAATGCCTACAGAGAGAGGAATGTTTACAGGAGGTAAAACAGTGTGGGCAACTCAACAGAATAAGGCTCCAGGCAGTGCCAGGCAGCCCTGTTTTTTAGGGATCTCCTTTTGTCCTAAAACAGAAGCCATGGCATCTGAGCCCTTATCTCCTAGCAACTACACAACCCAGATTGCTAACCAAGCAGACATTTCGTATCCAGGACTGTCTTTCTAACCATGGAAAAATCCAGACTAGTTATACAACAACGACGGATCTTTTAAAATAAAGTTGAAAAGAGCACATGATGTTATTGACTTACTGAAAAAGGGGGAAATGTGAAAGGGAGACAAGATGAATTGAAAACACTAGTAAGGCCCACAGTTGAAATTAAGTGGGACTACACTTCCCATGATGACATTCAGGACTGCACTACCCCTTTGCATTCTTTGTAAAGCATGAGACAACCTCTTTGTTTTTGTGTGCCCTTTTCCAGTCATTTTTCAATTCATAGCAACCCTGAGGTGATCCTGTCACAGGGTTTTCTTGGCAAGACCTGTTCAGAGGATTTTGCCATTGCCCTTTTTTGAGGCTGAGAGAATGTGACTAAATGTGTTTCTATGGCAGACCAGGGATTCAAACCCTGATCACTTTAGCCCAATGCTCAAACTACTACACCAGCTTGACCATGCAAGACAACATCATCTCTCTGTTTATCTAGCACAAGGCAGACATATCATGTCAACACACCTCTGTAACCATGAGAGCTAGAAACTTGTTGCGATATTTTTTTAACCAAAAGAATACCAACATCTTCAGAATTATTTTATAAGATGTCATATTCTGACATAGGGTTTCTTGCTCCCAGAAACAATAGGTGACGAAATATGAGCCCACACACTACCCCAAATTCCAGCCCTGCCCAAAGGAGAGGGCCAAACACTGAATTGCTTTATCCAAGGCATGGCACCATGAAATAAACTTCCACTCTGACTGTCTGCTGCTCAGTCCCAGACCCTCGTTCCCTTGATTCCAACATTAATCTCTCCATTCATACATGCAAGGTCTCCTCGCCTGTACGCAGGGCAGTATGAAGTCTTGCCAGGTCGGCATCTTTATCCTTCAATGCCTCTTGTAGGTGCTTCACTTCACGATGCACAGACTCCAGTGCCGAGAAGTGACTGGATAATGTCTTCTGTATAGGGAAAAGTGAGTAAGAAAAGGAGAAAAGTTTAGATCTGCCTCATATGTGGGCAAACAAATGGCCCACCTGGAGGTAGGAAGAAGGGAGGTCAAAGTCCACTGGTAGCAGATTACTGGAGGATTTCCAGTAGATCAGCAAAGGTTTCTTGCTCCCAGAAATAACAAAAATTTGGACATTATCACACGGGGAGTCGCGGGGAGAAAGTGGAAATAAACAGGCACGAGCGGAAGTCTTTAATTTACGGGATTTGTCCCGTTCTGCCTCGTCTGATAACTAAATTTGAATTTAAAAGGGGGTTAATTTGAACGCAAACCTGATCTTTTCATTTTCGGGATTTTTGAGGATTTGAAAAGATCAGGTTTTTGTTTGAATTAACCCCCTTTTAAATTTGAATTTAGTTATCAGATGAGGCGGAACGGGACAAATCCCGTAAATTAAAGTCTTCCGCTCGTCTGGTTTATTTCCACTTTCACCCCGCAACTCCCTGTGCGATAACGTCCTTTGCCTGTGGTTCTGTACTGTACTACTATAGTACAAAAATAAAAATAAAAGATATTTAAAACTTACAATATGTTCAAGTTTGTCCCACCAGACCAATACTACCTGGCCTTCATTAGCAGTTGCTTTCTCAGAAATATGCTATGAGATAGAATGGGAGAGCTGTTTCAGGTGGCAGATGCTATAGGATGTGCGACAGGTATGGCAGCCCTCCCCAGCCAAGACTATCTAGCAGACCCTCCTGAGCTCCCCAGCTGTTCCTCTCTTTTGAGGACAGAGCTGTGTGTGTCCCTTGCACTACTCAATGCTTCCAATTGCCGTCTCGTGACTCTCTATGGGGAGCCAAGGTTGAAGGCAGATTCAGCCACTAGTCTGGTTCTCTGCTGCATGTGGAAAGACAATTCACCTTGGGTAGCAAACTGTCTTGATCTGGACAGTGGTATAGTGGAAGCAGAGCACTGTAAGGTGAACTGCCAGGGCTTTTTCATGAGTAGGGATTGGGACATTAAGCTTCCTTGTCTCTTCTGAATTTAGTTGCAAATCTCACAAACAGTTGTGTTGTAGAGGACAGAAAATGTCCTCACCTCAGAAGATATGAGCTTGTTGTTGGGTACCTTCAAGTCATTGTATAACTTAGGGAGACCCTAAAGTTTCTTTCTTTCTTTCTTTCTTTCTTTCTTTCTTTCTTTCTTTCTTTCTTTCTTTCTTCAGAGTGGCTTAGTGGTTTGAGTGATGGACTACAACTCTGGAGACCAGGGTTCGATTCCCAGCTTGGCCATGAAACCCACTGGGTGACCACTGAGCAAGTCACATTCTCTCTGCCTCAGGGGAAGGCAATGGCAAACCTGCTCTGCTAACCCCCACCCAAAAAAACCCCCCATAATAGCTTTGTCTTAGGGTCGCCATAAGTCAGAAAATTACTTGAAGGCACACAACACACACACACAGCCACAGATGCTGGTGAAACATCAGAAAGAAACTCTTCTAGAACATGGCCACACAACCCGAAAAACCCACAAAAAACTACACACACACACACTTTCTCCCCAAATGGGATTCAAGGCAAAATCCTATCAAGAGGGTTTCTTGATAGAATTTGTTCAGAGGAGTTTTGCCCTTGCCTCCCTCTGAGGCTGAGAAAGTATGACTTGCCTAAGATCACCTAGTTTCTCAGAGTCTTAGTCTAACATTCAAACCACTACAACATTCTAGCTCAATCTTTGTTGATATCCAATCTTTGTTGATATTTGGGGCTGGTTTGGTTATGGCTGGGCAATCAAACACCATTAGCTTTACAGAAGATCTGCTCCAATGGAGTGAAAATGGCTGGAGCTGGTTTGCTGGCACAAATCAAGCCCACTCACTATGTTTTGGACTTTCTCTGGGGGCATCCCTAGTGGAACTATCAAAAGGAGACCCTGCATTTAAAAATGTATACCAATACCTCATGCTTGTTTTGAGGAAAGATTCAACTCTGTCATTCTTCAGTATGTGAACACAACTGTTCATCCCAGGTGACACATTCTCTTGCAGTGGGGGGTCTTCATGCTATAAAGATTTTTAATTAAGGCCAGCCTAACATTAAGTAGAGAGAGGCAACTGGGGCCTTCTGAAGGTAAATCTCATGTTATGCTGTGTCCAGACCTTGGAAATATTACTTTTTTGAACTGTAATTCCCAGATTCCCCAGGCAGCATAGCCATTCACCATGGTCTCTGGGAAATTCAGAGAGATGCAGACTGCCAGAAATAGTGCAAATTGAGTCCCCTTTTAACTGCCCTGACTCAGTGCTAGGGAATCATGCGAACTGTAGTTTACTGTGGCACCGGAGCTCTCTGACAGAGAAGGCTCAATGTTTCAGAAAAAAATACAATTCCCATGATTCCCTAGCACTGAGCCAGGGCAGTTAAAGTGGACTCAATTTGCACTATTTCTAGCAGTCTGCAAAGGCCCTTAGTCCCCAAAAATAACTTTTCCAAACTCTGTATTACTGAAATATCCAGGGGATCTTGGTTCCCAGTTCCCCAACCAAAAACAGCCAAGGATGCCGAACTTGCCTCCAAATGGACAGATGTAATTCTTACTCACCTCTAGAGCCTGGTCTCTGTCTTTCAGGCGCTGGGCCATTTGCTTGACCAAGGCTTCCAATGCAGAAGGCTTGGTCCCTGGAGAGCCAAGAGACTGCAAAATCACCAGATAGTCCTAGGGGAGAGAAAAAGGGGATGGATGAATGGATGAATGGATGGAGACCTTCACACTGAAAAGCCCAGATCCTCTTACTTTCCTTCCCTCCCTTTCACATGACTTCTTCTCCTGCCATGTGGGAATGAGGCACCTGCTCCCCTCCAACTCTCTCATGTTTATTATGTTCTATATATTAATTTTTAAAAAATTCCAACCTGCCTCCAGGGAGCATATTAAATTATTTGCATGTAAAGTTGGAACTGAAACGAAACTTGAGATGTTTCTTGCTAAATATAGCAGACAAGAAATTAGAAGAGAACATAGGAAAATTATTGTATATATGATAACAGCCGCCAGAATAAAATATGCAAAGAACTGGAAGATAAAAATTAAATCAATGGTCAAAGACTGGATAATAGTTATTTGACACAATACAATTGGACAAATCAACTTTACAAATCCGAGAAAACTCACTGACAAAATTTGAAGAACAGTGGAAAGATCTGATACAATATTACAAAAAGAGATAGGGAAATATGGAGATTATGAATACAGTAGATTAAGATATCTAATGTTAGTTGAAAGGAGATAAATGACTGTACTTTCTGTACTGTTGCTATTGTGTGCTTTCAAATAATTTCTGATTTATGGTAATTCCAAGGTGAACTTATCATGTGGTTTTCTTGGCAAGTTTCTTTTGGGGGATTGCCACTGCCATCCTCTGAGGCTGAGAGAGTGTGACTTGTCTAAGGTCATCCAGTCGGCTTAGCCAAACCAGGATTCAAAACCCTGGTCTCCAGAGTCTTAGTCCAACACTCAAACCACTATGCCACACTGGCTCTTGCTTTTTGTATAGATGTACATTTTTATGAATACACAGAAAAATGTAGAATATTAAGAATAAATGACAATAGGGAGGGCTAAAGATAAGGGACAAGCGGGAATGCACGACTGAACTAAACAATAAAGGGAGGTTAAGAGAGGAGGTTTAATGTAAATGTGGAAAATTATTGTTTAAAGTCAATATAAATGGATAATGTTAGCTTGGCGAATAAAAAGTAAGTTAAATATTCTTTGCATGCACCACCATTTCATCCTCACAACAGCATTGCTGGGGTAGGTCAGGCTGAAAGCATATGGTACATTAGGCCAAAAGGGTACCCAGCAAACTTCCAGGATCAATGAGGATTTGAATCTCGACCTTCTTGTTTATTCTGAGCAGGTACAAATCCACTGGTTTGGCATTGTATTTACGTGATGTCAGTATAGAAAAAAGTGCCCTGCTGGATTTTTGTCTGACAGAAATCCTTTCAAAAGCAGCGATCTTGGGCTTCTCTTCTTCACCTCTGATTACTTATTCATTCCTTTCATGCACTTGGGAGAAAGGAATTAATGAAACACAAGAAGTGGGCACTTATGATCTGAAATGCCAGCTATTTTTCCCCAACCCAACTCACCTGTAATACCCTCTCCTTGCTCTGTAGGCACCTTGTTAGCTGATGGATCAGAAGCTCTTGGCTACCTGCTGTCTTCACCTACGAGAGAGAAATCAGGGAAGAAGGGACAAGGAAAATAAGATTATTTTTGCCCCCTTTGAGGCAAGTACAAGTTCTGCTTAGTTCTGCAGGGTGAGGCAATTGCTTCAGCCAGCAGATGTTGGGAAACACAGATGTCCCTTGGGCATTTTCTCCTGAGCTCTTCTCTTGTGTCGGAGACTCCTATTAGATGTAAGACTACAGTCAGCCCTCCATATCCATGGATTTTTTTTATCCATGGATTCAAGCATCCACGGCTTGAAAAGATTACAAAAATATATACATTCCAATAAGTAAACCTTGATCTTGCCAATTTTATAAAAGGGATACCATTTTACTATCCATTTTATTTAATGGGACTTGAACATCCATGGATTTTGGGATCCCCCGGGGGGAATCCTGGAACCAAACCACAGCAGATAGCAAAGGGCCCACTGTACTTCATATCTGAGTTAACGGAGTGCAATGGATTAATGCAATGTGAGCTTATGGTTAAAAAAAAAAAAGGAGTAAATTCTCACAATGCACATTGTAAGGTTAAAAAGAAAAAAAGTTATGTTTATTGTCTCAAGAAATCCACTAAAGGATAAGAAAGGATTTTCAACAGAATTATTACACTAAACATGCTGACAAATACCTCTGAAGCTGGCGCAGAGGAGTATGCTGGAAGTGATCTTTATGCAGCTACACTGTAAAAATAATGCAGTTTGACAATACTTTAACTGCCATGCCTTCATTCTACAGAATTCTAGGATTTGTCGTTTTATTAGACACTAGGACTTTTTAGCAGTAAGGGCTAAAGACCTTATAAATCCTAGGATTCCATAGGATTGAGCTTGTTGTTGGTGTATAACTTCAAGTTGTTTCTGACTTATGGTGACCCTAAGTCGAACCTATCATGTGGTTTTCTGGGGTTGAGAGTTTGTGACTCATCCAAGGTCACCCAGTGGGTTTCCATGGTCAAGCTGCAAATCAAACCCTGATTTCCAGGGCCATTGTCAAATGCTCAAACCACTACACCATGCTGGTTCTCACTTAAAATGGAGTCAAACTGCATTATTTCTACAGTGTAGATGCACCCTCAGACAAGTGAAGCAAAGGTACTTTCTTGAAGAAGCCACAGGTGAATTCAATAGGTAAGTAGGAAGGAAGCAAAAGACCTATATACACAGCCCTGTCTATGGACCTTATCACATGGGGGAAATCCTGTGCAGAAACGGAATTTAAAAGGTGGGGAAAACCCGCAAAAGTAGGTAGATTTTCACACACATCACTGTTAAAGTGTGCTTAACCTGAATGGAAAGTAGTCAAAAGCCACTCCTTTTTACTTTCAGGATTTTTCCAAAAGTAAAAAGAAGCGGTTTTTGACTACTTTCCATTCGGGTTAAGCATACTTTAACAGCGACATTGTCTGAAAATCTACCCACTTTTGCGGGGGGGGGTTCTGTTTAAAACCCCGTTTCTGCATGGGATTTCCCCTGTGTGATAAAGTCCTGTGACAGATTGGGAATGACAAGGGGATACAGACAAGGCATCTTAAGCCAAGGACATGAAACTATTGCTGTGGTCTAGGCACTGGCTCAAGAACAAGGAAAGAGCATTCTGGAATTCAGAAAGAACAACCCCAAGGTTGTGTTGCCACTATTCCACAACATCTGCTGCGAAAGGCAACTGTCTCATTCTTTCTAATCATAGGGCCTGCCGTGACTGAGGATGCCAAAGCTTTTAACAGCCCTGTGTTGAAAAGAGAATTTAGAAAAGTGCAGCTTGCCAAAGATCAAAATGCTGGAAATCAGCCAATGTGACAACTCTCTCTACAGTCAGCTATCACTATCCACGGCTATTTTTATCCACAGATTCAAGCATCCACAATTTGAAAATATTTTTATAATCTATATCTTGATATATCTTGATTTTCCCATTTTATATAATGAACATGATCTTACTATGCCATTGTATTTAATGGGACTTGAGCATCCATGGATTTGTTGTCCATGTGTGTTTGTGTGTGTCTGCTGGAACCAAACCCTAGCAGATACCAAGGGCCCACTGTATATATACCTTGGCTTCTTTGCATGTGGTCAACTTTTCCAGAAAAAGCTCCTGAGGCCAAATCTGGCTCTGTGGGTTTCCCCAAAAGTTGACCCTACCCCCCCCCACAACCCCAGTCCCTGCTCTCCCCAAACACTGTGCAAACTAAGAGGCTGCAAGGCTTCTGCTAAGGCTTGGTTACTGGCAGAAAGAGCACTCCGCTCAATTATACTGGTATTTTTTGACTCCACTCTTTTGCCTCTGGCCCCATCCATTGCTGGAATGCAGTCTGAGAACTTCTCTGAAATTGAATTCAGTCCTCTGACTCAGTTCCCTACCCCTTCATTTACAGCAAGGGTGAAAATCATGAGGCCCTCTCAATGCTGGTCTACTGCAACTCCCAGCATCCCTGGTCAACATGGTTAAAGTTGAAGAATGCTGGAAGTTGCAATCCAATAACATTGAGACGACCTCATGATTATCATTCCATTTTACTGCAAAAGTGATTAGGGCCAGGTCCACATGGGCCAGAATACTTTGGAAGCAGCTTGGAATAATCTGGCCCCAGAGCTGCCACAATGTCGTCGTCCCCCATCCCCCCAATTACCTGAGGTCCTTTGTTATGATGCCGGGCAGGTATTCAAATGCACAAGGGCACCACAACAGGACACATTGTAAACAGCCACCCAGTTTCGCAGCTGAGGGCTGCAGATTTTTCGGGAAGATCTGGGGCAAAATGTGAATTTTTAAAAACATTTTGAGGGTAGTATATGGAAGGTCTGATGCTAATTTGATGCACCAGAACCAGGGGTTAGGCTATGTCTCATTCAGAGGTTGGGAGGAAGACATTTTATTTGTCTCATGCAAACAATCCCAGGTGAAGTTGTAGGCTTTCATGGCCGGCATCCATAGTTTTTTGTGGGTTTTTCGGGCTGTGTGGCCATGTTCTAGAAGAGTTTCTTTCTGACGTTTCGCCAGCATCTGTGGCTGGCATGAAGAAAGAAACTCTTCTAGAACATGGCCACACAGCCCGAAAAACCCACAAAAAACAATCCCAGGTGACTTCTAGGAGGAACAGAAGGCAATGCTTTCAATTGGAGGGGGAGCTACAGGACACTCAGGGCCTGAATCATCCTCCCTGAAGTTAGGAGAATTCCATGCATAGTTAGTTGTTTTCTGTTTCTTTAAACTCAGGTGCAGCCCTGAAGTCCAGGAGGTTTCAAGACACAGCAGGTCTATTTTCCATATTCAAAAGTGGATGTGAATATTTGGAGGGCAGATTACCTCTCACCAACCTCTGCAGAGCAAAAGACATCACAGCATTTATTCCCTAGACAAAGTGCTTTGTGGTGTTCCTGCAGCCATTGATTGAACTGTGGAGCAGTCCTCACTGTGTTTGGCATCTTCTCACCTCGGGAAATGAATGCCACCCACAGCAAAAGTTCTCCCAGCCAAGGGAGCAGCTTGATGAACACTGCCCTAGCCCTTACTTTCCCTCTGGAAAGGATGTGGGGCAGGTGAAGTGCTTAGCTTGCTGTTTCCCATCCTCATTCCCACTCCCATTTGCAGTGGCATCACTAGGGGAGTGCAGAGAGTATGGAGCACACTGGGCAAAGCCTCAAAGGAGTGACACCCAGTCAGGGCCTCCTGCCCCTCTCGCCTCCTCCAGTAGTGTGGCTTGCTTGGATGAGAGAAAGCAACAGAGAGAAGGCAATAGAGAAGGAGCCTTGCACCCTTCCTGCTTTCTCTGGTGCCATGGCTTGCTCAGACAAGAGAGCCAAGGCATTGGAGAAGTGCATGTGCCCCTCTCACCTTCTCCAGTGCCATGACTCTCTTGGACGAGAGAGCCAAGGCAATGGAGAAGGGAGCAAATGTGCATGCACCCATCCCACCTTCTCTGGTGCCATGACTTGCTCAGACAAGGGAGCCAAGGTACCAGAGAAGGAGGGGCAGTGCATGCCCTTCCATCCCCTGCCACTGCCTCACTTGCCCAGCTGTATACCTGGTCCTCAGCAACCCTGGGTGGGCATCTGGGAAGGTGGAGGACATTGGCTGGCTGGGGAGCCATGAAAGCAAGACATGAGGGGAAGGGGGCAGACCAGGCCACTGTCTCCCCCACAATCCCCTTCTAGGCACCCATACCAGGTGACACCAATGCTAGGGATGCCACTTCTCCTGTGCACTGCTTGCCGAAGCTTGAAAAAAGTTGCTTTTTTTTTGGGCTCCAAGCCAAAAAAGCATGGGCAGGTCAGATGATGATCCTCCACAACCCA